TTTTCGTACTTTTTTGTTGTTTTTTACCTATTTTTCTTGTCTGAAAATGGGCTATGTTGGTTGGGATTGTATGGCATAAACATGTTGCATTCACCTGTAAATGTTGGCCTCTTCAATTTAAGCTACATCACTCATAAAGATCAGGGTTCGATTTCAGTGATCTTCGTCATGGAAATTGGATTTTAAGTGCAACAACATGACAAGTACACATTAAATGAAAAGAGTTCTGTAGAAATTATACAAAATGATCATGATTCTTTAGAAACAGTTGTATAGATACTGGATGTCATGCACATTGAAAATATGTGAAGTTGATGTAGCATGCTTCCTATTTCTAAATATTTTTCATAAAAGATATATAAATATTATATACATAAATAGATATCTACCTATTGTTATTTTGAAAAAATTGATAAAACCAAAAATGAGCTTTTACTAGGTTACAAATTGTTTTGCATGGGGATGATATGCTGTCAGAGAACCCTGTTTTTGAGGCTGGTTCACAAGGTGATTTCTGTTTCTTCTCTTATTCCTATGAATTATAAACACAAATGGTAAAAAAGAACTATGTTTTGACTTCTGTGGTTGTATGGGTATTAAGATACATAATTTTTTCATAATGATTCACCTTGAGGCAAATTCAGTATGTATTGCACCAACTGTATGATACATGGAAGATATTGGAGAAGAGCACACATGATTGAATTATTAGAACTTATGACTAAAGTAAAGAAGAATGTAATAATATGTTAACCACACTATATCTGTTATATCCACTGCTGGCAAGGACTTTCACCCACTACCAGGACTCGTTAAGTTGGTGAACTTGGTGCTTAGATATCATATGCCAAGGAAACTGCTACCCAGGGAGCATCAAGAAGTTCAGAAAATATATTTTTGAAAATCACTTAATTTTATTTTTAAATAAGCGAAAATTTTTTAACTGTTTAACTATTAATCTTCTCTTCTTTTTTTCAGAGGCACCCATCCATGTGTGTCAAGCAGAAACCCTGAATTGGGAAGGTACATGTTTCCTATGATTGTTACCATTTAACTACAAACACAGTAAAAACAAAAACATGGAAGCAATTTTATATTTAGTATGCTTTAAATAACCAGTAAAATAAATGATTAATAACAAATTTGGTGTTAAATACAAATTCTAATATGAGAATGTTTTATGATGTGCATTAAATAAGAAAAAAGGAAGAAGTAAATGTTAAACGAAGATTTTATACAATAGTCTTTCATTGATTAGGTGCATCATATTGATTAGGTGCATCACATTGATTAAGTGCATCACATTGCTAAGTAGTAGAATGAAATTCATAATATTTAAGTCTTTCCATTTGTGATGGTCCCTTAGTAGATTAGCATTTTTTGTGGTGGACAGAGTGCAAATAGCCCATTGTGTAGCTGTGAACTAAGAAAACAACAAAAAAAAATCAATGATGCAAGTCAACCATTGTTCTTGAAAATTATGAATATATACCAGCTCTTGAGCTTCACCAAAAATTAACATGCATCAGCCTTTGAGCACAAGTAAGGATTAGAATGCATCTGGCCTTGAGCATAACCAAAGATTAGTGTGTATCTCTCCTTGAGCACAATCAAGAATTAATGTGTTACTAATCTGATATTCATTTCACACACCAAGTATCATTAAAAAATATCAGGCTAACACAACTCATTGCTGTTTTATTTATTGTAACATTAATCCTTTCAGTACAACTTTTATATTCATATAATTACATACAAATGACTTAGCATAAATAGGGAATGTTGCCCATGTGCAGTTTTTGGAATTTGCATATGGGACATGTGTATTTCAACAGGTGTTGTTGGATCATATGTTCCATTGACAACTATTTATGGAAATATGCTTTTTATACATGTTGAGGAGAAAGTAATGCAAAAACGTCTTATAATCAATGTTTTGTTTGTCCACAAACGTATGCTAGGACAAATGTAATTCAAAAGTACTAAAGGAGTTAATTAGGTATGCATTAAATGCATCCCCAGTTAAGAAAATAATTTTCAAAATTTATTGTACTTTACAACTGTAGGGGTTTGTTTGTTATTATAGAGTTCCCTTGTCTGTCAAATACAAATAATCAGATACCATAATGTAACGTCTAAAACATTTGAAGGATCTATAGAGAAGGTAATGAAACAGCAACTGTAATGCAACTAAAATTTATTAAAACTTATTGAATTGTATTAAAGCCACCTTAATATACGAGATGGATATGTTAACAAATATAAATAATTGCTTAATCTATAGCCTCTTTATGTAAAAGCAAAATTGATTTCTAGGTTTTATATTCTCAAGATAAATTTTAACTGTGTTTATTTTTTTACCCTTGCATTTGTTTTAGACCTTTGCGAGAGACTGACATCCTAACCCCAGAACATGGTCGATTGGTTGCAAAGGAGATTGGAGCTCCTTACTATGAAACAAGTGTCCTGACACATTATGGTGTGAATGAAGTGTTTGAGAATGTAATCAGAGCTGCTCTTATAGCTCGAAAGCAACAACGCTTTTGGATGACCAATCTAAAACATGTACAGCGCCCTCTTCTTCAGGTGGGTACCAATATATTCATAAGAACAAGAAATCTACTGTACGAAGAAAGTTTTACGTTCTGTTCTTCTAATTGCGTAATGTTCTGTATAATTAATATTTTACAAATACTTGAAAGTAAAAATTGATATATTTAAACTTTTGGAACTGTTACATGCAGAAAATATAATATAGCTTTGAATAATCAGCCCCTAGTCACTCAGTGGTAAATCATAGGGTACATACATCTAAAAACTTGGTTTTGATACTTGTGGTGGGAACAGCACAGATAGCTCATTGTGTAGCTTTGTGCCTAACAACAAACAAGCAAACTTGAACAATAATGTATCTATACATAACTCTATTCATGGAGAATAAGATAGGTAAAACTTAGATTTTCCTGACAAGACTGTGGAAGTTATCATTCATATGAGGCATGAGAAATGCCTTGAGATGCTCTGTTGACATCACATTATTCTGGATTTTTGGAGGAAAGAATCAGGTGCTTAAGGATTGACAGCAGTGATAAAGTTATTAAGTTATTCAATCATTTAATTATGTTTGTGCTCATTTTCTTTAGAATAATAGTTACAAACTGAATAACTAAAATCATTGCATTCAAAAAATAACTTAAGAACATCATTTAACTCAGAACTTTCCAGTACAAGTTATTAACTAAAGATGCATATAATCTCAGCTAATAGAATGACATTATGAACCTAATTGTATCATATCTTACCTATAGTGGAAACAAATTCTGAAACGTTTGGTTGCAGTTAAAGCAATTAATAATATTAAAGTACACTAAATTGTTTATTTACTTTGTTTGTTCCAGTCATTCTGCAAACAGTTAATTATCATGCTAAAAAGGTAAACTGGTGTATCTAGCTTTATTTATCAGTTACCCTTGGTCATAAAGCAGTTAATAATTCTTCTCAGATATACTAGGCCCGGCATGGCCAGGTGGTTAGGGTGCTCGACTCACAATCTGGGGGTCGTGGGTTCGAATCCCCGTCACACCAAAAATGCTCGCCCTTTCAGCCGTGGGGGCATTATAATGTGACGGTGAATCCCACTATTCGTTGGTAAAAGAGTAGCCCAAGAGTTGGTGGTGGGTGGTGATGACTAGCTGCCTTCCCTCTAGCCTTCCATTGCTAAATTAAGGACAGTTAGTGCAGATAGCCCTCATGTAGCTTTGCGCGAAATTCAAAACAAACAAACGGATATACTGTCTTTTTTATCTAGCTTTATTTCTCAGTTACCTTTGGTCAGAAAGCAATTTACAATTATTGTAAATATACTATCTGCTTTATCTAACTTTATTTTTTAGTTCTTAACAAACAGTTTATCATCATTATTATCCTAAAAATATAAAATATCATATCTTGTTTTATTTTTGAGCTCTAAACAAACAGATAATTTCTATTTTAAGTATGTGAAGTGCTTTATCTGTTTTTATGTGATAGCTAAAGCGTAAGGTAATATACATGATACTTTTTCCTTTAAACTTTAATAATTTTGGATATTTCGAAGTAAAAATATCCATTAATGTATATTGATTTATTCAATGTCAAAATTATGCATTAACTCATTATTAAGTTTACCTTGGACCATTAACAGAAAGATGTAATTATCAGTTAATGCAACATTAATTTTTCTTACAGCCATAATTGTAAAATCGTCATTGTTTACAAGTATCATATTTTCCACATGAAACTGTAGGCATGCATGTTCATTTTAAAATCGATGATATTTTTCACTGAGAAAGAATGCAAAGTTTTTAAAAAGTCATAACATCCTCTCTATTTTTCTAAACATCTGCCCCTTTTTGTAAACTTGTATCACTACATAACATGTTTATGTGTGTGTGTAAAGCACGAAGTAACAATTTTAAGTGAAACTATTTTTAATAGAAAAGGTATACAACAAAAGTGTCATTGTAACTGGCCATTCTCTTTAACTTTTAGTTTTTGAACTATTCTATATTTTAACTTGTATTACAGTTGACTCTCAATTATCCGAGGGGCATGGATGATACAAACCACATGAAAAAAAGCTTACATTCATGAATATGTTTTCTCAGAAAAAGGGAAAAAGTTTAAATGTATTTTTACATAATGTATTGTTACGTCTCTGGTCATTAATTAATTTTCCGTAAAAATTCTTTCCGAAGAAACTTTACCGATACAAGTCCTTTCTTAAATAAAACTAGGTTTATTCTTTCTGAATACAACTTTG